GTAGCCCTTGCATGCGGTTTGGGGTTTTATGTGCTGGCAATTTATATTTTTTGCTAATGACAGCCCCAGTTATAATTTTTTTTGTGTAGTTGGTGTATGTTGGTACTTTAGAAAACTACTTATTTTGTCATACTTATTTGGTAACTTCATCCTTCCCCTAAATACCTCTGTGGCTAATTCAAAATATTGGCTAAGGGCTGCAGTTGTCTCAAGGTTTAACTGGAAGAGGATCCAATTCCAACGTCACTCAGGTGTCAATTGGCAGGATTTGTTCCTCACAGGTTGTTGGCCAGAGGCCTCCCTTACCTTCTGACCACATAGGCCTTTCCATTATGCAGCTGGTAACATGGAAGCTGGCTTTCATCACAGTGATCTAGCTAGAGAGCAGGAGAGGGCTGGCAAGATGAAAGACAGTTTCTTTTTTCACCCCATTGTTGAAAGTGACATCTCAGTAGTTTTCCAAATTCTATTTGATGGAAGCAATTAACCAAGTCCAGCATACACTCAAGAGGATGGTTGTCCACAAAAGCATGGATACAGGAGGTATATTGTGCTCAGAAAACATTCCCTGGAGAAAAACAGGCTTATGATAGAATTCCTAAAAATCCTATCATGCTGCTCCTGATCTTGAAGTCAGAAGGCTCTCTGATTTCTCTAACACCAGCAGAGTCCTTCCATTAGGTCAGTCGCAGCCATTCCATGCACAAATTCAACAGATATTCCCAGCAGCATATGATATCTGCTTAACCACAAAGAGCTCACTTCACTCCAGAATGCAATTTTCGTTAGATTTCTTTGTGTTCTCAACTCTTGAAATCTTTAATAAACTGTGTTTTTGGCCTATCTAGGTTCTTCTCTAGTAGATAAAGTGGAATGCTGGTATGTTGCACCTTTTACATCCTATCCATGTGGCCACCTGAGTGAGTCTTCTCTGTTCTAAAGAACTCAGAGATTGACTTGTCATTAACTGATACGAAGACAACTTGAACATATATCTAATGAAGTTGAATATAGATGAAAGAATCTTATTTACCTATGTGTGGATGAATGGCTGAGGGCAAGTTTGAGGGGTAAATTTGGGGAGACTAGATGTCTAAAGGTGGATTGGAAAGGTAGAGGATAAGCCGTTAGAGCTTTTAGCATCCTTGGACAGTGGCAACATTTTAACATTAAGCATAGTGGAAAGAGAAGATCAGATTCTAGAGTCACTGCCAAAACTGAGTTTGGAGGACAAGTGTATGAAAACCAAAGAGAGTTGTGTTCTCGTGGTAAAAGGAGAGATTTGATTTGTGCTTTTCCCATCCCTCTCTCTGGATGAGTATCCTTAAAGGAAAAGGAAAGATACCACATTCCTGCATTCCCTTTTTAGATGTCCAATTGATGAACGTCTACTCTTAATTTTTTATCCTTGTATTATTTATAGAACTTATCAAACCCTACCCTTTATTCTACGACTCTTATTCTTGCATATACAATTAAATGGTGAATAACAGATCTTATCAAATTTCCATAACAAAAACAAACGAACCATAGATTTCTTCCTTCAGGAGTTCTTAAAGATCACTATGGAAGGTATAACGTTCCATGGAGGAAGAAAAATACTGGGTGTATGGATGTCAAATTGTTTTCATCTTTTTTTTAAGATAATGAATAACATATTCAACATTATAAACAGTAGAGATGGGACTAATCTCTGGTCTTAATGCAGTAGATTTTTAGTATATATGTAAATGACATCCAATCTCTGCCCTTGAATTTCTCAAGGTCTTTTTGTGTAAAGATAAACTGTACTTCCCATCAGGCATTCTAGGTAAAGTACATGTGGACTTCAAATAATTTATTTGAATGGCATCTGTGTTACAGTAGATGAAAACAACAACGATATCTATATTTACTGAATTCTTACCATGCACAACATGCATTATCTGCTTAATCCTTACAATGTTATAAGCTAAATAATATAGAAAATGAAGAGTCAAAGACCTTGAGAGTAAATAACAAGTCCATGTCCACACAGCTAATGAGTTAGAGGAGCTAATGTTGAAAATCAAACATTTTCCCTACAAATCCCATTAGTTGAACTACTCTATTGGCCTATCCATATGGTGAATACCTTAGTGTCCACTTATGCCACCAGGGCTCCTATTGATCCGTTACTATGTACTAAACACCATTCTAATCAGTACTTTTGATAACCTCTTCTTAACCACTCTCTCAGATGATACCTTTTGTTATCACAATTACAGAGATGAAGAAGTTAAACAGAAACATGTTTTATATTATGCCTAAGATCACAGTTTGTAATATCAAGCTCTTTTTGAATTCTTGGAACACACACTTAAAATGAACTTCTCTAAATTGATATTAAGGACTACCATCTGATGGGAAACTAGTATGTGATCCAACCTTGACTACATTATGTTTAGTCACTACAATGGCCTTGGAAGATTAGCACTATTAACTTCATGATGAGGACTCTTAGGCTCAGTGGGGTGCGCTGAGTTGTCAAAGGTGTCCAATTTAAAAGCCAAGATCTGGTTGGAGGTGTATCATCAAATCCCACACTTATTCTATTATCTGCGGTTCCTCTTCCATATCAAAAATAAGTACACGACTTTCTGACCTCAATGAAGAAGCTCTGACATATTTCCTTCTAGTCTTTTCCTGTTTCATAGCATTAATCAACTAGTATCACTCATTCTAAGTCTTGATGTTTAAAGAGAAAGAAAATGTTACCTTTGAGGCGAGATTACCATGAGCTATCAAAACGAAGTAATACCTTGGATACATCAATTTTTTTTTGGCCATCCAGAGGTTTGCAGAGAAGGATAAGCAGCTTAGTTCTAGGGTAGTTGGGACTCTAATTGCAGTCTAATTGCAGTTAACCATAACCAGAGAATCACAACACTACTACGATTTTTAATGAGAGCTATCTCTTCCCACAAACTGGTATGGCCTCATCCTCTGTCAAATGCATTCCATTCTCCATTATCAAAGTTCCTCATCAGGAAAGGTTGTAGGTGATTTAACTCAGAGGTAAAAGGAAGAGTAAATTAAGCTATTGATTGGGCAGGTTTTCTGAGCATCCCAAATTGCTCCCTCTGAAATTAGGTCAATGTGTCTAAAGGGCATTGCATACTCACGTAGTAGAACTCAGACAGAGCCCAAAGACAAGGAAATATGGTAACACAGTAAAGTCTTCATCAGTCTCTTACAAGTGAAAGTCAACAGCTCCCCTTTCCTGAAGACATGACCCTCTGCCATTCTAGACTAATGAAAAATAAGATAAAATTTAATTTACTCATAATGACATGGTGAATTAATGATCCTAAAGCACCAATAGCGCCACAGCAATTGGAAATATGATCTACCACCTTAATCTTCAGTTGTCCAACCTTGACCAAGATATATCAATGACAACCACCTTTTATTCCTGCACGTGCTTTGTAATGAGCCAACTTTAGACACTTCACTTCACAAATACCATTATCCCCCAAATTCAATTTATCAGTCAGGACTCAATAAAGAAAAGTGAAAACACCATGAAGAGCATTTCATAGAGGAAACTGGTAAAATAGTTATACAAGGACTGAAAGGCAAAAAGGAGCAATGTGGCAATACAGAGATAGTAACTGTCGAAAGAAGCTGCCACAACAAGTGCTAAGGAAACAGGTATAAGGAAAATGTCAAGCTTACTAGGGTGTGGTGAGCTTTACTGATCATTACTGGAAGAACCTAACAATAAAGCCAGATGAGAAATCAGAACAATGGTTTAAAGATCCTCCCCTCTCCAGCGCCAGCATCACAGAGTAAAGTATAAAAGGGTAAATCTGGAGAAGGGAGACAATAGCTTATCAATAAGCACACATGACCAACTTTATGGTGTGCAGGGCAGGAGCAGTGGTGGTACATTGGTAGAATTCTTCCCTTAAATGTGGAAGACAAGGTTTGATTCCCAACCAATGTGCCTCATGTGCAGCAACCACCTGTCAATAGACACATGCATTATGCTAAAATGTTGAACAGGTTTCAGCAGAGATTCCAGACTAAGATGGACTAGTAAGAAAGGCCTGGCGAACTACTTCCAAAAATCAGTCAGTGAAAACCCTATGGATCACAATGGTCTGATCCACAATCGATCACAGAGATGGTGCAGGATAGGGTAGTATTTTCTTCTGTTGTGCATGGGGTCACCACGTGTCAGGGAGGCAACTCAAGAGCAGCTAACAGCAACGTGATGTACAGGGAGAAGATATGAGAAGAAATATCATCAGGAATATTGAGAAAAATCACTTTTCAGTTGTTAGGGTAAGTTCTCTCATATCTTCCCCATTGTGATCTCTGATCACTTTCAGGTCTTCAGCATCTGCTCAGGAGGAGTAAAAGACCCACAACAAACTAGTCATCTTTGAAGAAAAGTCTGGAAAGATCAGTAGTCCTCACTTTGGCTGAACATTAAAACCACTTGTGGAGCTTTAAAAATCTTATGTTCAAGCCACATACTGTTCCAATTAAAAATCAGAATCCACAGTGGTAGGGCCAAAGCATCAATATTTTTTAGCTTCCTGGGTAATTCCATTATGACTTCAAGGTTTAGGACCAGTGGCATGCATTCTCACACATTACCTGCATATACAGTTCTGTTAGATGCAAAAGTCGTCTGAGTAAGAGACAGGAATTATGGTAAAGGATGAAGATTCTAAGTACTTAAAAATAGAGTTGTGCATTATACCGCAAAGCATGGGTCATAGATGAGAAGCTACAGAAGGCTTCATAGCTATAATGAGATTTGATTGTGCAGATTGACATATCCCAGAATACTTTACTACCCAAACAAAGATGTGACAAAGGAAGCAGTGTTCAGATATGAAATCTTGAGACTGAAACCTCTGAGAGCTACAAAAATTATGTAAGCAAAAGGTAAGATTTATGGTTGCAGATGTTAGATTTTGCCATCTTTTCCAACCCACATGCCAAAAAAGATGGCACAAGTGTTGAGATTAGGCCGTTCTGCTGAGGATCCTCTGCAGGGCTCTATTGATTTCCCTGCTCCTCAGGCTGTAGATGAAGGGGTTCAGCATGGGGGTGGCTACTGTATACATCACTGAGGCCACTGCAGCCTTCCTGGGAGGAGACGAGACAGCTGAACTGAGGTACACTCCAAGGCCTGTTCCATAAAATAAGCAAACGACTGACAAGTGAGAGCTACAGGTGGAAAAGGCTTTATACTTCCCACGTGAAGATGAAACTCTCAGAATGGAGGAAGCAATTCGAGTGTAAGAGAGAAGGATTCCTGAGACTGGAACACCAGCAAAGATGGCACCAATACAATATACTAATACGATATTGATGGAGGTGTCAGAACATGCAAGGTTAAAGATTTGAGGAGGGTCACAGAAGAAATGAGGGATTTCCACATCTGTGCAGAAGGTAAGTTGTGACACCGTTGAAAGGTTCAGCTGGGAGTCCAAAAGGCTGATGAAAAAGGACACCAAAACTAGCAAGCCACAGAGGCGGGGGTTCATGATGACTGTGTAGTGCAGGGGGTGACAGATGGCCACAAACCGGTCATAAGCCATTACTGTGAGCAGCAGATTGTCCAGACATCCAAAGAGATACAAAAAGGACACTTGTATCAGGCAGCCCCCATAGGTGATGGATTTTCTCTGTGTCTGGATGTTCACTAGCATCTTTGGGACTGTGGTGGAAATGAAACCGATGTCAGCCAAGGACAGGCTGGAGAGGAAGAAGTACATGGGGGAGTGAAGATGCGGGTCAGATGTGACGGCCAAGATGATGAGCAGGTTCCCAGCCACAGATATCAGGTACATGGACAGGAACAGCCCAAACAGGATTGGTTGCAGTTCTGGATCCTGAAAGAGGCCCAGGAGGAGGAATTCTGGGACACTTGTTAGATTCTGTGGCTCCATGTACTTGACAGAGCTTTTGGAAAAAGAAAGGAGGATTATTAAAAGGGAACAAGTAAACAGGCACCCAGCACTGTGTCTGTATCTGGAATTCAAGAAACTCACAAGTAAAGCACACAAACTCACATGTGTTCAAACTTATGGACTTAATACCCCAGTACTTTCAGCCATGTTACTTGGTTGTAGCGAATCCAACCACTGTATTTCTCAAAACTCTTCGCTCATTGTTTTCTGGGCTATTCACCTGTTTCTGTACCCAACCACTTTAGAGATTCTGGGCTAAATAATGTTAGAATGGCAAGGACATGTTCAGGTAACAAGTACATATAAAGAGCAAAATCTGAGCCGCCTCTATGAGGGAAACATATATGCAATAAGAAATATCCTTCTTTTAAGAAAGAAATCATTTCAATTAAAAGACACTAAAAAGCACTTCCAGTCCCATGGTGTGCAAATGGTTAACACACTTGGCTGCTAACCAAAAGGTTGGAGTCTACCAGAGGCACCTCAGAAGTAAGGTCTGGTGATCTACTTCCAAAAAATCAGTCATTGAAAACCCCATGAAACACAGTTCTACTCTGACACACATAGTGTCACCGTGAGTTAGAATCCACTCAATGGCAACCAGTTGTTCTTCTTAAGAAGCAGTCAGATGTACTTTATTTTTTCTTAGTACAGTGCTATAAATTCTCTTGATTTGGAATATTTATAAAACAACATATAAGAGATAGGAACACATTTAAAAAAAAAAAAAAACCATTGCCATCAAGTTTATTACCACTCATGGCGACCTCATGTGTTACAGAATGGAACTGCTCCATAGGGTTTTCATGGCCTTAATCTTTACAGAGCAGGATTACCAGCTTTTTTATTCATAGCACTGAAGGGTGCCTTCAGACCACCAACCTTTAAGTTAGTAGTGGAGCTCAAACCGTTTGCTTCACCCAGGGACCTCATTAGCTGGATTCTAAATCAAAATAAAATGTTCATAATCAGAGAGTGTGTTTCTATGTCAATTATCTTCACAGATTTTCATCATTCTTTGGTTTTCTGACATATATTTTATATGGAGATGCATGGTCATTCAAATAAATGGTTTCTTTTAAAAATCTTTTAAAGTATATATCCTCTCCCTTGGTTTTAATCGGCATCAAATTTTATAACTGTTCGGTAAATGCTCAAAATCATACAATACTGCTGATTCCTAAGATAACATTAGTGTAAAATGCACCAATGATTAAACAATTTACTTTTAAGGAACACCCTGTTCCTATTTTTCACCGAGTAGACACTAGTATTTGCATCAGTGCTACTCCATCTCAGTGCAATGTCTGGTGTTCACTTGGCTTTTTCTTTATTTGTTTCCATTCTTTACTGACTTGATAAATTGCTGAAATATGTTTCTCATCCTAAATATGTAGAAAGCTTTGTTTCCTCATCAAATCAACATTGCTATTTACAATTGAGGAAATTAAGACCAAGGACATCCCAAAGCCAGGTTAGGTCTACTTAAGAGCTTTCCAAGTCAATCCTTCCTTACCAGGGGGACTGGAATTCTCCTAATTTAGATCCCTGATGGCAACTCACTTATTCCTTTCTATTGGTAGGTCTGATATGACCTCATTTGGCCCATTTTCTTAATTCACAGTTCAACTCACTGAGTTGTAAGAGGAAGAATCAATGGTTCAGTTTCTATTTGCTTATCTGAAAAGAAACACAATCATTCAGCTCTGAATGAGGAGACAGAGCCCTGGAACAGGAATCAGCAGAGCAAGGTCCAAATCCCATATCTTTCACACACTAAATTTAGAGTGCATGTAAATCTCAACCATTCTTACCTGTAAAAAGGGGGAATAATACCCATCTCTAGGATGTGTGTGGCAGCTAACAAAAGTTTGACACTTAATAAATACTTGGACAATGTTTTTAATCAGAATTTGAATCAATATGAGAGTAGTGAGTTTATTGTTAAAACATAATCCCAGTTTTATTTGATTATGTGGGAAAAAGAAACCTAATATGTCCCAGGAAATTTGAGCTTAGAATGTATTGACATCATAAAATGTGCCTAGGTTCACACAGTAAGATTTACTTTCCCCTTCTCCTTCTCTATTTTTCCTTTCTAGTTTTCAGTTTTATGAAAATCCCCACAATTTTCCAAAATAATTCAATGTTGTGCAGTCTATTAATTAAATAGGTCCCATAGAAAGCCCATGATATAGATATATTCATGCCCTATTTTATCTTATCTCTAGTCCTATGGCACATCCTGGGAAGGATGACAGCACAGGCAGGAAAGCACTCAGTGTGGAAGCAATACAGCCTACGCTCTGATGCTGTGAACAAAGGAACCAAGGGTCTATTCCACATTTAACACAGATTTGTTGTTGTCATTGTGGTTGTAGCCTACTCTGTGCCAAGCATGGGATATGCTCTGTGGAATCAGAAATTAATGAGACTCAGTGATTTACTTCCAAGTATTCAGTATCTACTTGTACAAGAATGGAAATAAAATGATCTTACAGGGATCCAGACAAAACAAAACTGTCAGATCACAGGATATATTAGTTGAATGGTATGAAGCTTCATCTAATTTATATTAATAATAATATGTAAAATTAATGTGCCCTATCTATATGTATCCATCAGATATTTAATCACATATGTAATATGCTTTATCTGTTCAGTCCTTACAGCAATGCAGATCTATCAGCTGTAGATCAACTCAAATGGCAACATAGAGGCTGGGAGATACTAAGAACTTGCACACAGATCATAAGTAGTGCAGACAGGATTCACACTTAAATTGTAAGTCACTGAGGTCCATGCATTAACCATCTGCACTCTGTTTCCTCATATTTCAAAACATTTAAAGCAAAAGTCAGGGGACCTAAACAAAGATACATTTAAGTTACACCTTTTAACTCATTCCAGCTTCCTGAGTAGGAATGAAACCAAAGACCCTGTCTTTATGTCTCCGAGACTGAAATTGGCTAAATTACAATGATGAAAAGAAATGGACAGCTGAGATAAAATCCAGGAAAAGGGAGAGACATATGTCCTAATTATCATCTGCCAACTCCTGATGTGATCTTCTCCTGTATTCTCAACTATCCTTCTGATAGTGGAGACACTAAGAGGCACCCACTGCTATCCACTGTGATCTAACAGAACCCCCCACTAAAGAGCACAGTGAGCAGAGGGTCTCTGTGTGAAGAGACCAAGGAAGTGAACTGGCAGAGGGGAATATGGCCAGGTGCCCTGTGTCTGATGTCACACTGCCCAGATTCAAACCTGACTTCAACCTTTTCTGGCCCATGACCTGGAACAAGTTACAAAAAAAAGGCTGTGCTCATTTTCTCTTCTGTGAAATGACATAAAATGTGTTGCTGTTTTCTAGATGTGGTTGTGCACAAAAAAGGAAACAAGCTGCATAGAAAACTTAGTTCAGATCCTGGCACTGGACAGCCTTCAATAAACTTTCACAATGTTATGGTTACTGCCATCATCCTCATCATTATCATTATCATCATCATCAACTAGATCATGTTGAAGTGCATAGGGGACAGGTGAGAGGCACCCATTTCTTGTTCTGGTGGGGAAGTGCCTATGGGAGCTAGAACCAATGTAGAAGAAATTAAAAATCTAAACGTGCCTTATCAGACTTCTACCAAATCCAAGAACAGAAACTTCACGGACTTCTGAGCTGAAAGTTAGTATTTCAGGGCCTCCCATCTGGCAATCGCAATTGTGTTGGCTGTCCTGAAGAGGAGGAAACAATGCTCACCAGCCCCTCTGTGTCCACTGTCTCCCACAACACCACTGGTTTGTGCTGGGTCTCTGCTGGGGCATGACCAAGGAGTGTGGGTCCACCACAACTCCCTTGCCTGGTGGGTGATGAGGGTTGAGGTTCTTTGCTCAGAACTGTCAGGAAGAGAGATTCAGGCATGGGTCTCCTGATTCAAAGGACCACTCTAGAGGAGAGACACAGGTATGGAGCTCGCTGGACTGGGAAGAGCAAACTGAAGGCCTTGAGGACACAGGTGGCTTATTTACAGTTGTATGGCTTCGGGAGCTCAATGCCCAGAGCTCACAATTAGCCAAATTGGTTCATGTTATTCCAATCTCTGAGGGTTCATAAATATAAATGAAACTGGAAGAGAAGAAAGTGAATGTTCTTGGTATCTAGACCTTCCCATTCTAAGGAGGAATCCTGCCTATATTCCTCACTCTTAACTTCCAAGTTGTACAGACGTTAACTTAAGTATCAGATTTTTTTTCAAATTTTCAATGAAAAAAAATCAATGTGTGATTTGATATTTCCAAACCCATTGAATTATTCATGCAATTTAGGGGGACTAGATCTTCTATACCACAAATCTGGTACTATGTCCATTTTCTTAATGAAGATTTCTGTCCATAAGGGGAAATTTTTATTTTGCATTCTTTAGCTTTGATGTGGTTTGGGATTTTTATGTGTAGATGATTTATATTTTTGGTAATTTGAATGACACCAGTTCTACTTTTTTTGGGTAGTTAATGTATGTTGGTACTTTAGAAAACTATTATTTGTCATACACATTTGATAACATAATCTTCCACTTGAATATTTCAGTGGGTATATGAAGTAATTAGTTCAGGCAATTGAGTAGAGGTCAAAGTATGTTAGTGGTTACCAGGAGGAGGTGGAATGAAGGGTAAAGGGGGACTCACTGCTTAGGAGACACTAAGATTCTACTAAGGGTGATGGGATAATTTGGAAGTGGATAATGGGAATAACTGAACAACCTGATAAACTAATGTCACTGAATAATACACGTGAACAATGGTGAAATGACAAACCATTGGTTATATATTTATTTCCCAAAATAGTAAATGAGGCAATCAATGAAAATAAACAAAACAATAAAAAAAAAAACAATACTTCCATGGTCCTCAAAAGCAGCTGCATTCAAAACGTTGGCCATGACTGCAGTCACTTCAAGGCTTGATTGTAAGATACGATTCCCAGATCACTCACAAGTCAGTTAGAAGAATTTGATTCCTTGAAGACTATTGGCCAGAGGCCTCCCTCAGCTTCTGGTCACAAGGGCCTCTCCATCAGGCAGATGGCAACATGAACACTGGCCTTCATCAGAGCAAGCTGGGGAGAGAGAGAGGACTGGTAAGATGAAAAGCAGATTCTTTTTACACCCCAAGTTTGGAAGTGATATCCCAATAGTTTTCCAAATTTTATTTGTTTGAAGCAAGTAACTGAGTCCATTCAAGGGGATGGTTATCCAAAATAACATGAATATAGGAGGTAGGGGTGGTTGGGAGAATCTTAGAAGCCACACACTACACAGGCTGTCTATAAAGACAGTGGGCTCAAAGCACAGCTAGACTCTAGAGAAGTCTTTCTGTTTTCCAGCCTAGGCTCAACCCATCCAAACACTGTGCTGTCAGCAAACATTTCCTGGAGAGTAACAGGCACATGGTAGAATTTGCTCTGTCTTGGGTGCTTCTGCAAAGCCACCATGCTGCTTCTGGCCATTCAGTCAGAAGTCTTTCCAGTTTCTTAACAAGAACAGAGCCTTTCCATTGATATTAGGCCAATAACAGCCATTCCATGCACAAATTTAACAAATATCCCCAGTGGCATCTGATATCTGTTTAACTAGAAAGGGCTCACTTCACACTAGAATATATTTTCTTAGGATTTCTTTATGTTCGAAACTCTTGAATTCTTAATAAAATATGCTTTTTTGTTTATTTGTTTTTTTTCTAGTGGATAAAGTGAAATGTATGGGAATTATGGTCTGTCTCAACCTTTTACATCCTATCCATGATATCCTCCAGTTTCTGAGATCACTTTGCTGAGAAACTGGAAGATTGTTTTGTCGTTAACGTCTATGAAGAAAGCTTGAATATATACCCAATTAATTTGAAAAGAAAAGAAATGATGTTATTTATGTGTGTGTGGATAAATGGCAGATCCTGCTTTGTGGAAAACAATATGACCAAATGACAGGCATGTGTATGTGGATTGGAGTGGTAGCAGTTGGTGATGAGACTCTAGAATGCTTGCAGAAAAACAAAAGTGTAATATTAAATGAAAGTAATTTCACAATAGGTAGAAGCCTTCTGATAGTAGGCTCAATCCACATCTGAGCTTAGAGTACTGTACATGGTATATTAAAACCAAAAATAGTTATGATTGTTTGATAACATATGCTACTTCCAATTTCTGTTCCTATCATAAATATCCTTGAATAAAACAAAAAAACATGACCTTCTTGCATCACCTTATTAGATGTCCAATTGAGAAACATCTATCATCACATTTTTATCCCTTTGCTTTTTGTGGAGTCTCTGGAAGGTGCAAATGGCTAGCTTGGTTGCTAACTGAAAGGTTGGACATTCGAGTCCACCCAGAGCCACCTTGGAAAAAACGTCATGGCCATCTACTCCCAAACACCCAGCCATTTAAGACCTTAGGAGGACAGTTATACTCTGACACTCATGGGGTCACTGTGAGTTGGAATTGACTCAACCCCAACTGATGGTGGTAGTGGTGTTGTTTGTATAACTTATCAAAACCCATTCTTTATTCTATGATTCTTAACCTTGCAAATACTATTAGATTGAAAAATGATGTCATTGAATGTGAACAAAGAAACCATACATTTATTCTCTGAGGAGTTAATAGAGACCTATATCGAAGGTCTAGTGGTTCATCTGATAATTCGATGTATCGATGTCAAAATGTCTTCACTTTTTCTTGTGAGACAGTGACTAACTTACTTAACAATAAACAAAATGAAACGTACCAAAACTATGTCCTAAGTAAGCTAGATTTTGAGTACATAGACCAATGATATTCAGTCCTTGCCCTTTAACTGCACAGGTTTCATTGGGTAAAGATGAAATTGTAAGGTCTTCTCTCAGTCATTTAGGTTTAAGCAAATGTTAAGTATCAAAGTTCTTCATCAGTAAAGTTGCATATGGATTCAGCTTAGCAGTAAAATGTGGAGTAATTTAAACTAGTTACTGCACAGGTTTTCAGAACATACATTGATGCATCAGGAACTGTTTGACATCTCTAAAGGAAATATGGATACCCATGTAAAGAAAGACAGAAGGATCCTGTTTCTAGGGTAATTTCTCTCATTTTTCCCCCATGTCAGCTCTGATAACTTTTAAGATCTTCAGCATAAACTCATAAGGTTTAATGGACCCAGGACATATACATTAGTCATTTTTTGAACAAAGGGTTCACTGAAACCAGTAACCTTCAAAGTTGGCTGCCCACTAGTACCTGCTGGAATGTTTTGAAAAATCTTCTGTCTCAGCATACACCTCAGTTAAATAAATAAATCAGAATCTCTGGTGGCGCAACTCAGACATGAGTATTTTTACAGATCACCAGATGTTTGCAATATGAAGCCAAAACTGAGGACCAGTAACAAGAATTCTCACACCTAAACCACATAAATAGATAAGATAGAGATAAAAGTATGGAAAATAGGTGTGAGCTGTGGAAAGGGTACAGGATTTTTTTTAAAAAAGAGAGCTGTGCTTTTCACAGGATGCCTTCATCTTAGGTGACACAAACAAAGGCTCCATAGGTGTCATAGGACTCAGTTTGGCAGATGTTATGATGTACGATGGATGCTAGAACATCCCCCAATTCCCAAAAAGATGTGCTAAATAAGCATTATTCTAATATGAAACACCAAGAGGAATGAAAGCTTTGAGAGTTACAAAAATTATGTGACCAAAAAAGCATTGTTTCAAGCTAAGAAGTTTCCTAAATACAATCAAACACTTCAAGGGACAGAGTAGCAGGGGAGGGGTTCTGGGGACCATGCTTTCAGGGGACTTCTAGGTCAATTGGCATAACAAAGTTTATTAAGAAAGTGTTCTGCATCCTACTCTGGTGAGTGGCATCTGGGGTTTTAAAAGCTAGCAAGCAGCCATCTAAGATGCATCAATTGGTCCCAACCACCTGGAGTAAAGGAGAATGAAGAATACCAAAGACACAAGGAGAGTATTAGCCCAAGAGACAGAAAGGGCCACATAAAACAGAGACTGCATCATCTTGAGACCAGAAGAACTAGATGTTGCCCGGCCTCCATCAATGACTGCCCTGACAGGGAACACAACAGAGAATCCCTGATGGAGCAGGAGAAAGGTGGGGTGCAGAACTCAAATTCTAGTAAAAAGATCTGACTTAATGGTCTGACCGAGACTGGAGGAACCCCAGAACACATCGCCCCCAGACTCTCTGTCAACCCAGAACTAAAACAATTCCAGAGGCCAACTCTTCAAAGATTGGACTGGACTGTGGGACACAAAATTATACTCGTGAAGAGTGTGCTTCTTAGCTCAAGTAGATACATGAGACTAAATGGGCAGCTTCTGTATGGATGAGAGATGAGAAGACAGAGAGGGTTAGGAGCTGGTTGGATGGACATAGGAAATCAGGGGTGGAAAGGAGGAGTGTGCTGTCACAGTATAGGGAGAGTAATTAGGATCACATAACTATGTATATATGTTTTTGTATGAGAAACTAACTTGAAATGTAAACTTTCACTTAAACTACAACAATAAACAAAACAATAAAATACTTAAAAAAAAAAAAAAAAAAGCATGGTTTCCAGCTCCACATATTTGTTTCTCTGCCTATTCTAATCCACAGACCAAAAAAGATGGCATAGATATTAAAAATAGGCTGTTCTACTGAGGAGTCTCTGCAGGGCCTTCTTGATGTCGCTGTTCCTCAGGATGTAGATGAAGGGGTTCAGCATGGGGGTGACAATGACGTACATCACTGAGGCCACTGCACCACTCCTGAGAGAATGTGAGACAACTGAACTGAGGTACACTCCAAGGCCTGTTCCATAAAATAAGCAAATGACTGACAAGTGAGAGCCACAGGTGGATAAGGCTTTATACCTTCCACCTGATGATGGGACTCTCAGAATGGAGGAAGTAATTCGCATATAAGAGAAAAAGATCCCTGAGACTGGAACACCACCAAAGATGGCACAAATACAATACACTAATATGGTATTTGTGGAGGTGTCAGAACAGGCAAGGTTGAGAAGTTGTGGAGTGTCGCAGAAGAAACTAGGGATTTCCACGTCTGTGCAGAAGGTAAGTTGTAACATCATAAAGCAGTGCAACTGGGAGTAAAAAAGGCTAATGAAAAAAGATACCAAAACAAGCAGACCACAAAGGCGGGGGTTCATAATGACTGGGTAGTGGAGGGGGAGACAAATGGCCGCAAACCGGTCATAGGCCATTGTAGTGAGGAGCAGACTGTCTATACATCCAAAAAAATTTAACAAACATAACTGAATCAGGCAGTCAACATAGGAGATGATTTTGTGGTGTGTATGGATGTCATTAAGCATCTTTGGGACTGTGGTGGAGATGAAACCAATGTCAGCCAAGGAAAGGTTGGAGAGAAAGAAGTACATGGGGGTGTGGAGGTAGCTGTCAGAGGTGACAGCCAGGATAATGAGCAGGTTCCCAAGCCCAGTGACCAGATACATGGACAAGAACGTTCCAAAGAGGAGGGTCTGCCATTCTGGATTGTCTGAGAGGCCCAGGAGGAGGAATTCAGAGACATGTGTTATATTCTGTGGTTCCATGTAGCAGAGACACCTTTAGGGAAAGAAAAGAAGGGTTTGTGAAAGGAAACAAGCAACCAGCAAGGCAACTACATTTTGAATTCAGGAAATTCACATGTAAAGCATTCACACTTAGGTACCATACACCACCTTCAGCAATATTTCTCAGTTGTAGCAAAAGCATTATTCCTAGAACTCCTTCTTCACTGGTTTCTGTATCCCTTTCTATACAACCCATTTTAGAGACACTCAAATGAAGAATGTTAGAGGAGCAAAGACATTTAGAGATAACAAATTCATTAAGACAGTAAAACAACTCAAGAAGAAATAGAAGACTTCAACAGACCATAACAAGTGAAGAGATAAAAGCAGCAGTCAAACATCTAATTAAACACTTCCCAAAAAAGGATGTCCAGAGCCAGATGGTCACTGGGGAATTCTACCAACCATTTACAGAAGTCACTCCAGTACCTCTGAAGCTTTTCAAAAAAAAGAAAAAGCTTCTTAATTCATTCTATGAGGCTAGAATTAGTCTGATACCAAAACAAGCCAAACACACAAGACAAGCAAATTACAGACCAATATCCCTTATGAATGTGTTACTGTTGTCCTTAGGTGCCGTCGAGTTGGTTCCGACTCATAGCGACCCCACGTACAACAGAAAGAAACACTGCTTGGTCTTGCTCCATCCTCACAATCACTGTTAGGCTTGAGCCCGTTGTTGCAGCCACTGTGTCAGTTCATCTCATTGAGAGTCTTCCTCTTTTTCACTGACCTTCTACTTCAGCAAGCATGATGTCCTTCTCCAGGGACTAATTCCTCCCGATAACATGCCCAAAATGTTTAAGATGTAGTCTCGCCATCTTTGCTTCTAAGGAGCATTCTGGCTGCACTTCTTCCAAGACAGATGTGTTTGTTCCTTTGGCAGTCCATACTATAGTAAATATTCTTCGCCAACACCACAATTCAAAGGCATCAATTCTTTTGTCTTCCTTATTCATTGTCCAGTTTTCGCATGTATATGAGGCGATTGAAAACACCGTGAGCTTGGGTCAGACATACTTTAGTCTTCAAGGTGACATATTTGCTTTTCAACACGTTAAAGGGGACTTTTGCAGCAGATTTGCCCAAAGCAATGTGTCTTTTGATTTCTGGAATACTGCTTCCATGGGTGTTGATTGTGGATCCAAGTAAAATGAAGTCCTTGACAACTTAAGTCTTTTCTGTTTATCATGATGTTGCTTATTGGTCCAGTTGTGAGGATTTTTGTTTTCTTTATGCTGAAGTGTAATCTATACTGCACGCTGTGTGGTCTTTGATCTTCATCAGTAAGTGTTTCAAGTCCTCTTCACTTTCAGCAAACAAGGTTGTGTCATCTGCATAACAGGTTGTTAATGAGTCTTCCTCCAATCCTGATGCCTCGTTCTTCTTCATATAGTCCTGCTTCTCAGATTATTTCCTCAGCATACAGATTGAATAGGTATGGTGAAAGGATGGAACGCTTATGCATACTTTTCCTGACTTTAAACCACTCAGTATCCCTTTGTTCTGTTAGAACGACTGCCTCTTGATCTATGTGCAGGTTTGTCATGTGCATAATTAAGTGTTCTGGAATTCCTATTCTTCTCAATGTTATCCATAATTTGTTATGATCCACACAGTCGAATGCCTTTGCATAGTCAATAAAACACAGGTAAGAATCTTTCTGGTATTCTCTGCTTTCATCTAGCATCCATCTGACATCAGCAGTGATATCCCTGGTTCCATGTCCTCTTCTGAATCCGGCTTGATTTTGTGGCAGTTCCCTGTCGATATACTGTTGCAGCTGCTTGTGAATGATCTTCAGCAAAATCCTTCTCATGAATGTAGATGCAAAAAATCATCAACAAAATATGAGCAAACTTACTCCAAAAGAATAATAAAAGGATTATTACCATGATCAAGTAGGGTTTATTCCAGAAATGCAAGGGTGGTTCAACATTAGAAAATCAATGCAATACACCACATCAATAGAACAAAGGAAAAGAACATGATCATCTCCATCAATGTGGGAAATGCTTTTGACAAAATCCAGCACCCTTTCACGATAAAAAAAAATGGCTATGTCCAGCATCCTTTCTATCACCAAGACCATTTTTTCCAACTACTGCTCCTACTTCTTTGTTTCCAACTTTTGCATTCCAAACACCAGTAATTATCAATGCATCCTGATTGTGTGTTCGATCAATTTCAGACTGCAGAAATTGGTAAAAATCTTCAATTTCTTCATCTTTGGCCTTAGTGGTTGGTGGGTAAATTTGAATAATAGTCGTATTAATTGGTCTTCCTTGTAGGCTAATGGATACCATCTTGTCACTGACAGCATTGTACTTCAGGATAGATCTTGAAATGTTCTTTTTGTCAATGAATGCAATGCCATTTCTCTTCAAGTTGTCTTTCCCAGCAGAGTAGACCATATGGTTGTCGGATTCTAAATGGGCAATACCAGTCCACTTCAGCTCACTAATGCCTAGGATATTGATGTTTATGTGTTCCATTTCATTTTTGACAACTTCCAATTTCTCCTGGATTCATACTTTGTACATTCCACCCCCTTACCACAAAAAAATACCAAGATAGCCACGTGCTTCACTCTCTTAAGCCACATTCGGCCCAGCTTGGGAGGCCTGCCCTGGTCTCCCTAGACAGTCTCATTATAAAGAGTAATAAGCCTTTTCATACACTCTTGGTGTATGTGTGGCTACGCAAGTTTCAACATTTGAACCAAATTTTTTGGGGGGATGTGGGGGTCCATGCAGAAGATAATTCAAAAGCAATTGCAGCTTTACGTAGATAGGGAAGCCCCAGAAATTCATGCTAGATTCAGAAGCAGATGTGGAATGAGGGATATCATTGCTGAAGTCAGAAGAATCTGGACAGAAAGCAAGGAATACCAGAAATATGCTTATCTGTGTTTTATTGACTGTGCAAAGGCATTTGACTGTGTGGATCATAACAAATTATGGACAACGTTGCAAAAAATGCGAATTCCAGAACACTTACTCCTGCTCATGAGCAACCTGTACATGGACCAAGAGACAGTTGTTCAAACAGAACAAGGGAATGTTACTTGGTTTAAAATCAGAAGTGTGTGTCAGGGTTGTATCCTTTCACCTTTCTTACTCAATCTGTATGCTGAATAAATAATCTTAGAAGCTAAACTATATGAAGAAGCATGGGACATCGTGATTGGAGGAAGACTCATAAACAACCTGCATTAAGCAGATGACACAACCTTACTTGCTGAAAGTGATGAGGACTTGGAGCACTTACTGATGGTCAGAGACTACAGCCCTCAGTATGGATTACATCTCAACATAAAGAAAACAAAAATATTCACAACTGGACCAATACGCAACATCATAATAAATGGAGTAAAGATTAAAGTTGTCAAGGATTTCTTTTTACTTGGGTCCACAATCAATGCCCAATCAATGTCCATGGAAGCAGTAGTCAAGAAATCAAATGACATATTGCATTCAGCAAATCTGTTGTAAAAGACCTCTTTAAAGTGTTAAAAAGCAAAGATGTCACTTTAAGGATTACGGCACGCCTGACCCAAGCTATGCTATTTTCAATTGCCTCATATGCGGAGCCCTGGTGGTGCAGTGATTAAGGAGCTTGGCTGCTGACCAAAAGGTTGGCAGTTCAAATCCACCAGTCGCTCCTTGGAAACCCTATAGGGCAGTTCTACTTGTCCTATAGAGTCGCTATGAGTCACAATCGACTTGAGGGCAAGAAGTCTGGTTTTCTTTTTTGGTCATATGCATTCAAACCTGGGCAATGAATAAGGAAGACCAAAGAAGAATTGATGTCTTTGAATTACGGTTTTTGTAAAGAATAATGACTATACCATCGACTGCCAGAAGAATGAACAAATCTATCTTGGAACAAGTACAGCCAGAATGCTCCTTAGAAACGAGGACGGTGAGATTTCATCTCATATTCTTTGAACATGTTATCAGAAGGGACCAGTCCCTGGAGAAGGACATCATGCTTGATGGAGAGTCAATGAAAAGAGGAAGACCTTGAACAAAATGGATGGACACAGTGGCTGCAACAATGGGCTCAAACATAGCAACCATTGTAGGATGGTGCACAACCGGGTAGTGTTTTGTTCTGGTGTGTACAGGGTAGCTATGAGTCTGAACCAACTCAAAGGCACCTAACAACAGCAACATCCTGACACTGAAGAGTGGTCACAACAAGGCAGAACCACAGAAACAGCATTCTAAATTAAAGTCAAATGTTCTTAATCAGCATCTTTATGTGACAGTTATCTTCATGAGATTTTTCTGTCCACCCCTGGTAATCACTAATAAAACTAGGTCTCTATACATTTGCCTACTCTAGATATTCCATATATGTGGAATCAAACAGTATTTGTCCTTTTGTGGCTAACTTATTTCACTCAGTGTGATGTTTTCAAGATTCATCCATGTAGTAGCATGCATCAGGACTTCATTTTTTCTTTAGAGCTGAGTAATATCAAAAGTGTGGGTTGTCTTTTAAAAGTCCTTTCAAGTATAAATTCTAACCTTTGATCTTTGGTGAACTTCACAGTTTGATAAATATGTTTTTGTTAATGCACAAAATCATACAGTATCACTGATTCAAAGTGACATTCAGTGCAATTACCCTGTCCAAGATTAAACAATTATTAACTGATAATGATCGCTCTGTTCTCTTTTTTCATTTGTCATTTCATTTTCTTTTTATGCAGGGTTATTTGTATCAACCACACACAATCTAAGGAAAACATCTGGTGTTCAAGGCCACTCTTTGCTTTTGTTGTCAACACTTGAAGAGGCTTGGTAAAAGTGCTTAAATATATTTCCAATCTCAAACATTTAAAGCATTTGTTTCTCATCACCCAGTTTCTCATCCAACCTTGTATATTTACAGTTGAGGAATTCAGGACTAAGCCCAGTCTAAAACTTACCCTGATAATGCCTAGTTAACAGCTTTTCAAGTTAAGCCTTCCTGGTACCAAAACCAAACCAAAC